CAAGGAGAATCTCCCAGGCGATGTACAACTTGTTGATGGACATGAGAAGATTTCGGTTCTCATCCTGAAAGCCAGCAAGCAGAAGGTCGACGGGCAGCTCAGACGCGCTGCGGCACAACAGCAAGTCACTCGTCCCTTCCCCTCGCACAGCAGCAGATGACTTACCTGCCGTCGTCCTCGTCCTCCTCCTGCTCCAGCACCGTCACCTCCCTCACCCTCCTCGTGTGCTTCCCCCCCCTCAGCCGCGACGACTCCTCTGACGCCTGAGCTTGCAGCTCCTCCGCCGCCCTCCTCGCGCTCTTCCCTCCCCCGCAGATCCCGCTCATCAGCTCTACCTCCGCCACCACCGACCCGGCCCGCAGGCTGAGTACTCGGACCAAGTCTTTGCGACCTCCGACGGCTCGGGCGAGGTCCTCTGCGAGCTCCTCCATGAACTCTTCCTCTCCCAGCAGATCGTCGAAGTTCATCTCGAGGTCCACAAGGATGGTGGCAGATGCGATCATGAAGGTCGGAGGAGGGAGACAGCGCGCAAAGAACTCGCGCACTGCCCTCCCCATATCCTCTAGCTTCTCCTCCAGCTCTCTGAGCTTCTCCTCCAGCTCCTTCTGCGCTCCTGCCTCTTTTTGGTTCTTCTGCTGCTCAGCTGCCCACGCGTCCTGATTGTGAAGGCTGTCGTGCAAGATCGAGATCTCCTCTTCCCGCGCAATGAGCTCCTGAGCCAACTTCTCCTGTTCCTGCTCCGCCACCTGAAGCTGCTGTAGCAGATTCTGACAGTCGTCGTACATCCTGCAGTTGTCCTCGTACAGCCGCTCGTTCTCCTTCCGCAGCGTCTCCGCCTCCTTCCCCTCCTCCCCTCCCCTCCCCTCCAGCACCGTCACCTCCCTCACCCTCCTCGTGTGCTTCCCCCCCCTCAGCCGCGACGACTCCTCTGACGCCTGAGCTTGCAGCTCCTCCGCCGCCCTCCTCGCGCTCTTCCCTCCCCCGCAGATCCCGCTCATCAGCTCTACCTCCGCCACCACCGACCCGGCCCGCAGGCTCAGTACTCGGACCAAGTCTTTGCGACCTCCGACGGCTCGGGCGAGGTCCTCTGCGAGCTCCTCCAAGAAATTTTCTTCGTTGTTGGTGACTTCTACGTAGTCCAAGTCCATGACAAGCTCTATGAAACTGCTTCCTCCCTCCTCCTCTCTCCTCATCGCCTCCTCCTCTCTCATCATGGCGAGTTGTTCCTCCAGCTCCTCCCTCAGGGCTTCCAGCTCGCTCACTCTTGTCTCGTACTCCCAGCACTTGGCCTGCAGGCTGGCGACCTGCTCCTCTTTGTCGTCACCTGTCACCTGAAGCCTCTCGACCTGCAAGAAGTTTCTCTGAGGCAAGTCGGCTGCGAGCTCTTGCCCGCTCTGTCCTACTTCCTCCAGCTCCCTCCTTAGCTGATCCCGCTCCTGCGAGATCTTCTCCAGCTCCGACACGAACTGCTTGCAGTCAGCATACATCCTGCAGTTGTCCTCGTACAGCCGCTCGTTCTCCTTCCGCAGCGTCTCCGCCTCCTTCCCCTCCTCCCCTCCCCTCCCCTCTAGCACCGTCACCTCCCTCACCCTCCTCGTGTGCTTCCCCCCCCTCAGCCGCGACGACTCCTCTGACGCCTGCGCCCGCAGCTCCTCCGCCGCCCTCCTCGCGCTCTTCCCTCCCCCGCAGATCCCGCTCATCAGCTCTACCTCCGCCACCACCGACCCGGCCCGCAGGCTCAGTACTCGGACCAAGTCTTTGCGACCTCCGACGGCTCGGGCGAGGTCCTCTGCGAGCTCCTCCATGAACTCTTCCTCCGCAGCCTCGATGTCCTTGATCGGCATGTCCAGCACGACGTCAATTATCACCGAGCTATCTTCCTGCTCTGAGCTGGGAGGGAGGGAGGGAGACTCGAGCTTCTCTCGCTGGAGGAGCGCGTTCTGCTCCTTGAGCGTCGCGATCTCCAGCAGAAACCTCTTGCAGTCCTCGTACATCCTCACGTTGTCTTCGAAGAGCTGCTTGTTCCTCACCCGCAGCTCAGCCGTTTCCTCCACCTGCACCGCAAACTCGGCGACTGCCGCAACTCCGTCCTCCCTTGCTGCTCCTTCGCTCTCTCTCTCCCTCGACGTCTCCGCGGCGGCTGGGCTAACGGCGGCATGGGAAGTGGGGGTTACGTTGTTGTGCTGCTCCTCGAGCGCTGCCAGGCTAACGCGGAGCTGCTGCAGCTGCTCCTCCAGCGTCTTGATCTCCGACGTCATGTGCTTGTTGTCTGCGAAGAATCTGCGGGCACTCATGAGGAGCAGCAGACAAACTTTGACGTCCCTCACCTCTTGTTGTCTTCCAGCAGCACCTTGTTGTCATGCAGCAGCTTTCTGCACTCGTTCCTGCTCGCCTCCAGTAGAGCCTCAGCTGGATGGGAGCTGTCAAGGTCAGGGTCCAGTTGGAGTGACGTCATCGTCTCCAGCTCTTGGATGCGCAGCCGGAGGGCCTCGATCTTCTTGTCAGAGTCAACGAGGGAGGCCTCCGCCGTCTCCTTCATCATCGTCATGCTCGACAGCTGGATGGTCAGGTCCTTGATCTCGGCGTAAGAGTCGTCGAGCTTCTGCATGACTTGACACGCCCTCGTCTCCATCTGACTCACGGCTTCATCCGCGTTGCTCCTGCTGTCAACCATCTGCTTCAGCATCTTGATCTCAGCGTTCTTGGATGCCTCCATCAACCTCCACCGCTCCCAGTCGTCCATCCTGCTCTTCTCCGTCACATCCAGCGTCGCCTGGAGGTGTTTCATGCTCCTCAGCAGCTCATCGCGCTCCTCCCGCACGCTGGTGAGAGTGCGCGACTCGTTCCTTGCCCTCTCCAGCCCTTCCCAGCTCGCTCTCTTGCTCTCCTCCAGCGCCCGTCGCAGCGTCTCGACTTCTCCACAGATCTCCTCCAGTCTTAACGCTTCCTCGCGCTCTCGCACCGCCAGCCTCTCCTCCGCCTCCTTCCTCCTGCGCAGAGCCTCGTCCAACGCCTGCTGCCTCTCCACAAGAACCTGCTGGGCGAACTCAAGCTCCTTCCTCCTCTCTGTCGCCTCCAACTGGAGGGAAGAGATGGCAGCATCTTGACTTTGGTTCCAACTGTCGTCCAGTCGCTTGCTCGGCACTTCGTTCAGCTGCTTCATGGTTGCATCTAACTTCCACAGCAGGTACTTGTTCCGCAGCGTGCACTCTCGGTTGTTGCAAGTGGAGGTACGGAAAGGAAGGTTGTCGGCGCCATCCAAGTCGCTATCGTCCGAGTGAGGCGCGTACGGCTTTACCCTGCAGCAATGTTCCTCCTCCTCGTCTTCAAACTGCGTGTAGACTTGCGACATGTCCTTCCCGATGAGCCTTAGCTCCGAGCACAGCCGAGCGATTTGTTGCTCGGAAGTCGCGAAGAAGTCGTCTTTCTCCCATGAGTGAGAGTATTTTTGCCTGTCAAGCTCCTCCCTCAGGGACCTCACATGGTCCTGAAGCGTCAGGTTCTCTTCCTTCAGCTCATCCATGAGCGCAAGCTTCATGCTGATCTGATCCCTATCGCTCGCATGATCGTTGAGCCTGAGCTTCAGTTTCAGGTTCTCATCTTGCAGTCTCTTGACCTCGTTCTCCAGCGTCGCGAGATTTCTCTCGTCGCGCCGCAGGGCTGACTTCAACTTGGAGATCTCGGAGATGTACTGGGTCTCAACCTTCGACTTGACTTGCAGTTGGTTCAGCAGCTTCGAGTTCTCTTTCCTTACAGCGTTGAGCGTCCCCTTGTCAATCTCACTCTCCCTCTGAATCTCTCGTATCTTGAATGTCGCGTCCTCTATCTCGATCGCGTGAGACTTGCGCAGCTTCTCCAGCTCGGCTCGGAGTGTCGAGATAGTGACGTTGTCTTTCTCATGCTGAGTCCTCAGCACATCTATGTCCTCCTGCAGTTTGCGGTGTTTCTTTCTCGAGGCAACCTTCAGCTGGGAGAGCTGCTCGCTCACCCGCTGGAACTCGTGGGACTCGTGGGCGAGCAGAGACGAGAGCTCGAAAGCTTTCTTCCTGGCTTCAAGAATCTCAATCCTCTGCTCCTCTACCCCGTTCAGAGACACGGACGGCTCGCGAGGGGGCACGACAACCCCTGAGTCTCGCAGTGATACTTCTGACCTGGGCCGATTGGTTGCAAATCTGTTCTCATCCTTGGATTCACTGGCAATCGTTGTGATCGGTGAATCTGCTTTGTTGTTGTTGTTGTTGTTGTTGTTGTTGTTGTTGTTGTTGTTGTTGTTGTTGTTGTTGTTGTTGTTTGTATCTGCTGGCGATGTCTCGTCGTCAGTGTTCGCGCTGCCATTGGCGTCTGGAGACCACAAGGCCAACGCTCGACGAACGTTGGGGTCGACAGACTCCAGCAGGGAGTCTACCCTGGCATCGTCGAGGGAAAGAAGAACCTGTCAAGAGGGTAAAAGGCAGGCGAGAGGAAGCTATTGGTAGACCTGATAGACAGCTTGAAACGTCTGATCACTCTGAGCAGCCATGAATCGCTCGCAGGCCTCCTTGAAGGAGGCCATCGAACCATCCATATCCTGTGTCGCCATGTACAGATGTCTCTAACCAATCTGCGGTAAAAGTGAGATTGATGCGAAGGTTCGCAAGCAAAGAGCAGCGGAGCAGGGAATCATCAATGAATCGTCGTTCACAGGGACACGAGGAGGAGGAGGAGGGACAAGTACAAGTAAAGTGGAGTCTGAGAGCTAAGTAGGAGCTGGGGCAGCCAAGGAGAACGAGGAGAAAGGAGGGACAAAAGCAGCAAGGCGTCAAGGTAAGGATGCATGAGCAAGCAGCAAGAAGCAAGCAGCAAGAAGCAAGAAGCAAGCAGCAAGAAGCAAGAAGCAAGAAGCAAGCAGCAAGCAGCAAGCAGCAAGCAGCAAGCAGCAAGCAGCAAGCAGCAAGCAGCAAGCAGCAAGCAGCAAGCAGCAAGCAGCAAGCAGCAAGCAGCAAGCAGCAAGCAGCAAGCAGCAAGCAGCAAGCAGCAAGCAGCAAGCAGCAAGCAGCAAGCAGCAAGCAGCAAGCAGCAAGCAGCAAGCAGCAAGCAGCAAGCAGCAAGCAGCAAGCAGCAAGCAGCAAGCAGCAAGCAGCAAGCAGCAAGCAGCAAGCAGCAAGCAGCAAGCAGCAAGCAGCAAGCAGCAAGCAGCAAGCAGCAAGCAGCAAGCAGCAAGCAGCAGGGGCAGGGGCTGGATTCCGAGCAGGGTCGCACCATGCGGTACCGAGGTAACTATACAACCATTACCCCTACCCTGAAGAGAGAAGAGACCCCGTCTACAGTTCGAAATATGGTAATAGTCCTCTTCACGTACACTAATTCATAAGTAGCTCTCTAATGTAAAAACTTAAAGTACTCCACATACCCTCTTGCGTCGAACACTCATTAACCCCTACCCCCCTGCTTCGTGTCTGCTGGTTTGCTGGCCGTTACACTCAAAGTTGACAAGAACGAGAAACGCGCAAGTGAGAAACGGGGGGAGGGGAGGGGAGGAGGAGCAGAGCAGAGCAGAGCAGAGCAGAGCAGAGCAGAGCAGAGCAGAGCAGAGCAGAGCAGAGCAGAGCAGAGCAGAGCAGAGCAGAGCAGAGCAGAGCAGAGCAGAGCAGAGCAGAGCAGAGCAGAGCAGAGCAGAGCAGAGCAGAGCAGAGCAGAGCAGAGCAGAGCAGAGCAGAGCAGAGCAGAGCAGAGCAGAGCAGAGCAGAGCAGAGCAGAGAAGGGAAGGGAAGGGATTCAGGAAAGAGAGGAGAAAGGAGAATATGGCAAGAACTTTTCAATGATGTGCAGGTGACAAATATTGATGTTTTTTAATGAACCTTGAATCATATTCACATGATAGACATGTCGAGTATGCTTGCATCAACTCCGTAATCTTCGCTGAGAAGAGAAATCTCTCGGAGTTGTTGGGATAAAAGACTCCTAGCAAACACGTCAGAGACTACCAGGCAGACACCAGAGGATACCGTGGTGAACTCAGCCACAACATCAGCTGCAGGAACTGAGGTCAGGGAGAGCATGATCATAAGAAGGAGCGTCACCAGATCCCAGCGACACGAAGGGGAGGACGTCCACGTCTGTTCTCAGCCCCGAAGCTGTTCGAGCCAGCACTCCATTACAGAAGAACGCAACCTGCTACTCATCAGGCTCCTTCGAGACTCTCCGCACAACCTTTCCCAGCTTCACGTCAACCATGATCCCGACCACGTCGCCTCCTCCGTAGCAGAGCTCGCCCGACGCTGAGGAGACAGAGGGCAGCTTGCTCCTGTTCAGCCGCACGCCGTGGAAACACAAGTCGCCCGACCCTGCCAGCCAGTCAGCAGCTGCGTTGCTCGTCCCTTGACTTGCCTTTCCGCCACAGGACGGAGACGTTGTTGTACGCCTCAGCTACCGGCGCTCCCTTGTACGCCACCCCCACGTAGAGATACGGCGAGTCCCCGCTGACCTGAAGGAAGGAGGAAGTCAGGCGCTGGTTCGGGAGAAGCGAGAAGAGGACGAAAGGGAGGGGAGGAAACGATGCGAGAGAAGAGAGGAGAGGTCACCTTGATCGTGGCGTACCGACGCTTCAGGTTGAAGGCTTTGTTGCCTTGAGCTCCTTCATCAGCCTCGACAACCAGCTAGTCGCACGTACCGAAGGCGCAGACCCAATGGGAGGAGCTGGGGGAGCGCTGGACTCTTTGACCTGAGAGAAGGGAGGACGAATGAGCAGGGGGTTGACAGGGGGAGCAGGAGGAGGGGAGCAAGAAGAGGGAAGTGGCAGGAGGGGAGTGGGAGGAGAGAGGGCAGGAGCAGCAGCAGGGGCAGGAGGAGTGAGGAGGATTGGCTACCTTCCATGGAGATGACAGTCTCTTTGTGGCTGAACCGCATCAAGTCAGACTGGCAGGAACAGCATCCAGGGACAACACCTCGCAGCTCGGTCCCAGCTGAACCCTCTCTCCTCCTTCGTCTTGACCGACAGAGTCTTGTTGCACCATCTTAACAGGAGTCAGGGCAGGGCAGGCAGGATATACTTGTGTCTTGTTACCTGCTCATGATGTTGTTGGAACAAGCCCTCACCCTGTCAATGCGTCAGTTCCCTCTTCATCCTCCTCCCCTCGAGTCTGTCGGACCTGAACCAGTGCTGTTCGTTGGAAGGAAGCGACTTCACCTGCAGCAGTACTTGAGCAGAGGAGGAGAAGGCGGGGGAGGGGCACGTGGAACTCGTTCTGTGGGCCCTCGTAGATGATGGTGAAGGAAGAGTCCTCAGGGAAGGGCCTCGTCGATGCCAAGTCGAGGTTGGGGTACCGATCCTCGGTGCACATCTGAGCAGGAACATCAGGAATTCGAGGACCGAGTCGGATAATTCAGGGTGTCAATTGAAATTGTGAGATGGATAAGTGCATTAGGAATGAAATCAGTGACTTGAGGGGTCGAATTCCGGCTTCACCTGCAGGATGTAGTGCGAAGATTCTTTGATTGCACTCCACTGAAGGAGGACAGAAGAATCCTAGGAGATACAGGCCACGTGAGCACATAGAGACCTTCAAGTCCATTCCTGATGACGTCACCGTTACGTCCTTGGCGACAAGATCGCTCGGAGGATCTGAACGAGCAGTCAGGCGGATCTCGCACTCCCTCGTCGATCACCAGGAGCCTCTTGAAAGACAAGCTGAAGCTCTGAGACGGAGCTCTTGGCCTGCTGGAGCATGAGGAGCGGACGGGACCATGGAGTCACTTCACCTCCTCGCACTCGAATGTGATTCCCAGCGTCACTCCGGTCGCGTCGAGCGCGCTGTCCGGCACAGTCTGCGACAAGCTGAGCGCTAGAGCCTCTCCCGTTGGTCTTACGAGTTTTGACACTTCTTTGAGCTTCCGTTGAAGCTGTCGTTGTGTATCAGTTTGGACTCTGTCAAGTGCGAGCAACGCACTTGCAAAGATTCCGCGTGTTGAATGAAATCATCAACGATGTCCTGAGCCAGAACCTGGCGGGCATCCCTCAGCTCAGAGAATGTCGTTGCTGCTCTCAAAAGTTTTTCACCTGCTCTACCAAGTTGAGGCACTCTTGCACCTTTTGCAGTCTGTTGCGCAGGTGTCAACCGAGTCAAGCTGAGGGCCAAGAGAAGCAAGGAACCTGTTTGAACAGATGTTTCTCGAGGCATCGATGTACTTCAGCTTCGTCTCCTCCTCCTTGTCCAGCTGAGATGAAAACAGAGATCACTCAAGCAGGGAGAGCAGGACGGTAGTTGCCTGGTCCAGCAGCATGTCTTTCTTCTTCTCCACCAGCCTGCTCGCAAAGTCATTCTGACATCGCTCGCATCATTGCGACCGGTGAAGTTGGGCACAAGAGTTGAGAACAGTCTGACGGACGCCGTTCACTTCATCTGTTTCAGCCACTCACAACTTCTTCCATCCCGGTACAATCACTCGGTAGACAACCTCTGACCGTGTCGTTGGCTGCGTCGAGTCCTGAAGATCAACCAACATGTCAAAACGAGAAGAGGAAGCAATTTCTGGTCACCTGCCATGACATCGAGGATCGAAGCTGCATTGCTCCTTGCGATCCGCGCCTGAAGACAGAAGATGCACGAGTCAGCAAGGGATGAGCATCTCGAAGGTCAACTCAATAACATGCTCTCTTAGATGCTCGCGGATCCTGACAGCTCTCGTGCGAGGATCGTTCCATGTGCCGTTGAGGGAGGACCTGACGTTGGTGGCATTGATGGAGAGAGGAAAGGTCGAGTCGTTCTTGAAACTGTCCTGCTTCCCCTGGAGTGAGCGAGAGAGGAGCAAGGGAGGAGCCCGGGGACCTCTAGTTGGTCGATGGTGAGAGTTGAGTGGGATCGGAGGCTGTTGCTTCTCCAGTCCGGGATGGTGTCCTGCTGTGTCGAGCTCTGAAGCTCGTGGATCTTCTTCTGCAGCCAGCAAGTCAGTCGCCAGACATGCGAGCCAGTCGCTCGCCTGAAGCTTCTCGTTCTCCTCCTTGAGCATCGAGATCATGTCCGAGGGGCCAGCTGACTTGCTCGGCGTGCTCGGGAAGCCTCCTGTCCCGTCCTTGTCTTTGCGCGCGTCGTCGAGGCCATGGCTCGTTGAGTTTCTGCCATCAGGGTTGGCGAAGGAGTCGGAGTAGAGCGGAAGGGAATGAGGAGCTTGCTGGGTGGCGTCCTAAAACAGACAAGACGATTACTCAAGCACGGGTTGAGCAAGCAGGAAGATGGAGGCAGGAGGCAGGGAAACTGATGTAGGAGGAGGAAGGGGTGTGGGGGTGGAGAGGTGGAGGGAGGGGAGGGAGGGGAGGGAAAGTGGTGGGAGGGGGAGGGGGAGGGAGAGGGATGGAAGAATGTATGAAGACATGGACATACGGATGGCCGCTATAGTAAAGTTTCCATGGGGCGCCCATTCCGTCTGCTCCTTATCCTCCTTGGCGATGTCCTGGGGGAGGACGGACTC